ATTGTTTATACATAGATGATTTGACAATTTTTTTTTCACTATTAAGGAATAAGTTATTAGACCTACCCCTCCTTACCTGTTTACATTATTTCTTGAAATTTTGGAAAAGTTTTCATTTCCAACAGTATTGGCACCATTAATGTTAGTATTATTTTTGTTAATAATATTATTTTTTAGAATAATGATATTATTAACAAAAATAATCACAATAGAATATATATATGTATATATATATATTTGTTTATTTATTTATTTATTCATTCATTTATATTATTAATAAGGCAAATTAGGCAAGCAAGGAAGTTTGAGTGAACACTAATGCTTATGAATCCAGACAATCACATTATAAAGAATTAGAAATTTAAGACCCCATCCCCAAGTTCACTCTAACAACCCCAACCCTAAACTCAACTCTAATCTCACTCCTAACCTCAACCTTAGCCTCAACCTGAACTTCAACCTCAGCCTCATCTATGGTGCCCAATGTGCCAAACCTGGTCATGATCAGTGAAACTGCTCTGCACAGTCATGCCCACGTGCCAATTGTGATGGCTTCCATAATATATTTATAGGAGTTGCTCTACCTGCAAGTTTGATTTTGAGGTGGCAAAACTCAGTTTTAAACTTGACCTCACTTTATGTGATGCCAGACAGGAAGCACATAGATGAGGTTTTCCTATTACTTCCTTCTCCAGAACTGTCCTTCCTTCTCCTACTCATATACCCCTTCCTTAACCCAGTGCTGATGGGCATGATGTGTACATACGTGCTATGCCCACTGTGAGTACTTGTTTGATTGTTTTACACATAGATGGCTACACTTGTACTAAGTCACCAATGAGCCAGTTACGAGTACTGCCTGTCTCGCCCATTTACTTCTCTCCTTCTCTCCAGTTCAGCTAGGCTGTCCTTACTGTATTAGTCCTATGTGACTGCAACACATGAAAGAGACTTGGCGACATTTACCAGTTATCCACAAATAACTGGTACCCCTTTCCCAAGGAAGCTGCCAAACTCCAGCAAATGCAGCACCGCTTTCATTGATGAGGCCATGTCGCCATGGTCCTGCCCGGTGTACAACTTGAAGCAAGAGGTGTACCCTGCAGCCAGGCTGGTGCTGGTACAAAGCTTGTAGACCTTCAACCCAAACCTTGCCCTCTTGGTTGGCTAGTACATCTTGAAGCCAAGCTGCCCATGGAACTTCCATCTATGGTGATGTCCTGCCCCGGCATGAACATCGTCTGGAATGAGTCGTTGAGGGAGTCCATGACTGGTTGGAGCTTCCATATCCTGTCTTCCGAGAGTGGAGCTCCTTCCTCCAAGTGGGAGTCCACTTCCTCATGTGAGGGGAGACACCATACCTGTGGGAGTGGATAAGAAAACAAATAAGTAATACATTCTGTCTGCTCAATTCAAGAGATATTTACTTAATATGGATAAAAATGGAAAGGACACAAAAGCAATAACAAAATTTACCAGTTGGTCTCCTGTACAATGAGATCAAGATCTTTGGTGAGAAAATAGCTGAAGATCTCCAAGGGTGTGTTTGACAGATCAAGCATCACCTTGACATCAGGATTGCCTACAAATCCATGACATTAGGGGACATTGTCTCTGCGTCACCAAACAAACTTCTTGCTCCCAGGAATATTCCTTTGTAGCAGCTTGGCTGCCACGCTGGAGAGAGGTTTGTCACTGTTGAGCGTCTTGTTGACCTGAGACACGTATTTCAGTTCCTCATCCAAACTGGACACTTTAAAGTGGGGGTCAACCCTTTATTTTTCATTTTTATTATCATTTTCTGTCTGTCTGTCTGTCTGTCTCCTGAGGTCTATTGCATTACGTCTAATGTGTGGGACACCTAGAATAATAGTGTTCCATGAATTTTCAATTATGTCAATCTTCATAGTATGTGAAAAAGTGATAGTGTTAATATATTTATTACATGGGACTGCTGACTTGAAGTTATGCTTGAAATACATAGGGGACTTATTTTATGTTGTCTAGCAGAAAGTGTACCAAAAATGATCTGTTGAGGTGTGATCATGGCTTGTCTTTATTATCTCTGTTCTCTAATATACACAAACGTTTCTATTTTAAGAAATATATCAATTATCAGCCCTTTTGGTAATAAAAAGTGAAGGGATTAGACAATGTTTAGAGGGGTGTGGCCTAAGCCATGATGTCATACCCAATAATGTGAGAGCCAACAGATCATGCATTCATTGAAGAAACTCCAACATGTTGGGACTTTGGTTGTGCTACAAGCAAGGCCTCTAATCAACCTTGAATTTTAACCTTAGCCCACTCATGGATCCTTTCTTACCCCTCTTTGCCCCTTTTAATGCCATATTAACTGTTGTATGACATCTAATGTGTAACACATTTGATAATCAACTAACTCCCCTCTTTACCCTTTTCACCACTACACCTTTCTACAGTGCTATATGATCTATGATGTCTATCACAATTATTTTGCTTTGTAACCATTAACCATTTG